GACCATCACAAGAACCATCACAAGAACCAACATAGAACCATCATAAGAACCATCATAAGAACATCATAAGAACCAACATAAGAACCATTATAAGAACCATCACAAGAACAATCATAAGAACCATCATAAGAACCATCATAAGAACCATCATAGAACATCACAAGAACCATCATAAGAACATCACAAGAACCATCACAAGAAATCATAAGAACCATCACAAGAACCATCATAAGAACCATCACAAGAACCATCACAAGAACAATCATAAGAACCATCACAAGAACAAAGTAAGAAAGATAAAAACTGACCAAGTTAAAACATAAGAGGAGTTAAGATAAGTAAGAAGTAATAGAAGATAAAAAATAGTAAAACCAGTAAGAAGACGACATCACATAAAAGTAGGTCTGTAAAAGTACGTTTTAAGATTTAAAAGAACTGAGGGAATCTGTGAGTCTTATCTCCTCAGGGAGGTAATATAAAAACACTGTTGTTAACTGTCCTTACACTGTACTATAAAAACTGTTGATTTCAGACCTTTACTGATGTGATTGTCCTCTCTCATCTCCTTCTCTCTCTCCATTTTTAGATTTCAAGTCTTACAAAGATGACCCTGAACGTCACCAATGACTCCAGTCGGTACTACCTCCCGTTCATGTATGATTGCTTTTTATCTACGGCCGGCATGTACACCATGTCCTCCCTTATCTTTGTCTACATCCTCCTCGTCCTCCCTCTCAATCTCTACGTCCTCTATCTGGGAATCCAGAGGTGGAGGCAACGCCGCTCAGTTCCTGCAGCAGAGACCATGAGTTACTCCGACTTCTTCACCTACAACCTCGCCGTCATAGTCCTGATCTCAGTGGTCGGGTTCTTCATCTACTTCTTCTCCTTTTATCTTCTGACTCTGTTGCCTATTTCTGCCTTTATGGGATTTTTTGTCTGGTTTGGAGAGATGATCTTACCGATCCTGACCTGTATAGAGCGCTACATGGCTGTCGTTCATCCAATCACCTACCTGGGTATGAGAAAGGTGGGCGGGGTCAAGGTCAGGAACATCAGCGTGGGTTGTGCTTGGATGTTGTCTTTAGCAGGAGCCAGTTTCCTGCTCATGCTTTTGTTGAACCCTGCCTACGGGTTCTTGCCCACTATTCCGATCCTCTTCCTCTTCTTTGTGGTCATGACGTTCTGTAGCCTCTCCGCTCTCTGCGTTCTGTTTCGCCCACGTCCAGGAAGAGCCAGCGGCGACGGGAAGCGAGTCGACCGATCCAAGCAGAGAGCCATCCGAACCATCATGATCATAATGGGAGTGTTGTGGCTGAAGTTAAGCGTGAATGTGGCTTCTGCTTCTCTGAGTTCCTTGGCATCTGAGGCCGTCCGGTGTTTTGGGAATGTGTCCGTCTTATTGTCCTTGGAATTTTTATGCATTTCTCCCTGAGTCAGCTTCTACAAGAAAGTTAAAATTATATATAAAATAGAAAAGCATTATAAGAAAAAAAGAGTAGAAAAGTACAAATAAAATAAATATAAAATAAAATAAAATAGCTTTTGCTGGTAGTGACAGTGTCCTGTGTTTATTTAATTTATTGTCATGCAACGTTTTAGCAGCTAAGCACTCCGTAGTTCATAGAAGTGTAATATGAACAGTATGAAGTCCGGCCGCTCGGTGGAAACAGGGCTTTAGTGAACACAACCCCCCCCTTGCTTGTTTAATTAGTTCTGTTCTCAATCTGGCACTTTGCACTGTTTGTATTCAATGTAGGCCTACAGCCACATTTCCCACACAAACGATGGGACGTTGTGTAAAATGTAAATAAAAAACAAATGTCAATGTTCACAAACCCCATGTCTGTGTTCTGTGATCAATCAATCAGTCTTTATTTACATACAGTCCATACACCCTGGACACTTTACACACTGACACGTTACACTGTTTACATTATTCTATATTTTGTATATTCAAATAATTATTTTTTTAATGTTACATTATATTCTATTTTACTGTATATGTGTATTAGTAATTTGAGTGTTATTGCATGGCCTTGCGGAACAGAAATTACATTTCACTGCACATCTGTATGAGCATGTGACAAATACAAATCTTGAATCTTGAATCTTTATTTGCATAGCTCCAATTCATAACAAGTGTAACCTCGAGACAACTTCCAGGAGTTGTCGTGACAACAACTAGTAAACTCATAAAAGAATGAGGTGCCCGACTTGACGTCAGAATTGTCTGAAACATGGCGGGCAAAATATGTCCTGTTAATGTTAACACACTTTTTATTAATTCACGTACTGCACATCAACTTTCTGCTCAAATATAACTTTTAACAGTCACATTCTACAGATCTTCTCCTTCCTGTTTGTCATTGTTCTTACAACATTCAGACTTTACAAACTGAAATCACCAAACACACCGAAGTCGGAAGGACGACTTTTTCTTTTCTTATGATGGTTCTTGTGATGGTTCTTGTGATTGTTCTTGTGATGGTTCTTATGATGGTTCTTGTGATGGTTCTTGTGATGGTTCTTATGATGGTTCTTGTGATGGTTCTTGTGATGGTTCTTGTGATGGTTCTTATGATGGTTCTTGTGATGGTTCTTATGATGGTTCTTATGATGGTTCTTGTGATGGTTCTTGTGATGGTTCTTGTGATGGTTCTTATGATGGTTCTTGTGATGGTTCTTATGATGGTTCTTGTGATGGTTCTTATGATGGTTCTTGTGATGGTCTGGTTCTATATGTCTGTTGGGTATCGTGCACTTTGGGTTCTTTTCTGTTGAATTGTATTTAATTATTTGTAGTATTTTGCATTTGTTATGTTCTTGTTGTTGTTTATGTTCTTCTGTGTTTGGTTTAGTTTGTTCTTGTTTTTGCTGTTTGTCAAAGCACTTTGTAAACCTGTGTTTTTAAAAGGTGATATATAAATAAAGTTATAATTATTATTATTATTATAATAAATAAAGTTATTATTATTATTATTGTTATTATTATTATTATTATCATAAATAAAGTTATTATTATTATTATAAATAAAGTTATTATTATTATTATTATTATTATTATTATAAATAAATGTATTATTATTATTATTATAAATAAATTTATTATTATTATTATTATTATAAATAAAGTTATTATTATTATTATTATAAATAAATTTATTATTATTATTATTATTATTATTATTATTATAAATAAAGTTATTATTATTATTATTATTATTATTATTATTAATAATAAAAAATAAAGTTATTATTATTATAAATAAAGTTATTATTATTATTATTATTATTATTATTATTACTTCCCAACTCTGAATCTTGGACTCTCCGAGGAGTTCGTGAATGCAGCACTAGAGACGAGGCAACAGGAGGTCGTCACAACTGAGCAAGGAGGGGGGGGGTGACAGCTCGCAGTACCCACTTTAAACACTAGGTGTCAGAGTTACATGTTGCTCATTCAATGAAAGGTAAGGTTAATAAATGTGCAGCTTTAAAATAACAAATTTGATGATTTCGATCCTAAAACAAGGTGTCGTATTAAGATGAAACAGTAACACCGCCTCTATCAGCTGAACCATCATCAACACTAAATAGAACTACGTCATTAGTCACGTGACCCCTGAAAGCGAAAGTTAACTTTGGGACCTTCAGAATCTGCAGTTTCATTTCCGCCTTTTTGTTTCCTCACAGCGAACAGAAACTTTCATGTTTGTAGTTTTGTTTCCTCAACATGGAAATAACAGAGTTTCACTTCTTCTTCTTCTGTTGTGTTTTTACGCTGTTTTCACGAAACGACGGTCTTCCGGTTTCAGGTTAGTAGGGCTACGTTTACGGTATTCCGTTACGTGTTAACACCGTCAGTCGGCTGGTGGTGACGGTACCGTCAGTCGGCTGGTGGTGACGGTACCGTCAGTCGGCTGGAGGTGACGGTACCGTCAGTCGGCTGGTGGTGACGGTACCGTCAGTCGGCTGGAGGTGACGGTACCGTCAGTCGGCTGGTGGTGACGGTACCGTCAGTCGGCTGGAGGTGACGGTACCGTCAGACGGCTGGAGGTGACGGTACCGTCAGACGGCTGGTGGTGACGGTACCGTCAGTCGGCTGGTGGTGACGGTACCGTCAGTCGGCTGGAGGTACCGTCAGTCGGCTGGTGGTGACGGTACCGTCAGTCGGCTGGAGGTACCGTCAGTCGGCTGGTGGTGACGGTACCGTCAGTCGGCTGGAGGTACCGTCAGTCGGCTGGTGGTGACGGTACCGTCAGTCGGCTGGAGGTGACGGTACCGTCAGTCGGCTGGTGGTACCGTCAGTCGGCTGGTGGTGACGGTACCGTCAGTCGGCTGGTGGTACCGTCAGTCGGCTGGTGGTACCGTCAGTCGGCTGGTGGTGACGGTACCGTCAGTCGGCTGGAGGTGACGGTACCGTCAGTCGGCTGGAGGTGACGGTACCGTCAGTCGGCTGGAGGTGACGGTACCGTCAGACGGCTGGTGGTGACGGTACCGTCAGTCGGCTGGTGGTACCGTCAGTCGGCTGGAGGTACCGTCAGTCGGCTGGAGGTACCGTCAGTCGGCTGGTGGTGACGGTACCGTCAGTCGGCTGGTGGTACCGTCAGTCGGCTGGTGGTACCGTCAGACTGTCTGAACACTGAAGAGTCTGAGGATAGTGACTCTCCCGATCATAAGTTAGAATCTTGTTTTATTTGGTTTAATGTTAAAGTGTAAATCTTAAAGGCTGTTACTTTTCCGGTAAGCGTTTAAAGTTTAAACTGACAGATTTCTTAAAGTGACAGATTTCTTAAAGTGACAGATTTCTTAAATTGACAGATTTCTTAAACTGACAGATTTCTTAAAGTGACAGATTTCTTAACGGGGTTCGGTCTGTAAGCGGATACTGAGACAGTGCTGCTGGGGTAAAGCCTTGTTCTGAACGTGGTGAGGTGTGACGTCAGCTCTCAGAGTTTAGTTACATTCTTACAAGAATCAGGTCAAAGTTTGAAACTGTGTGACACCCTTTGTTCTCCAAATCAAAAACAAGAAAATGAAAACAGCTTTTCATGAGTAGAATCGTTTTCATCATCTGGACACATGGCAGCTGAGGCCCCTCCCCCCCCCGGTGACCCCTGATTGGATAATGTGTATCGATAATAATCCGTTTTTTGTGCTTGTTCTGTGTACAGCTGGGCCTGTGACGAGGTTTTCCCTTCCTGGGGGGAACGTAGTTCTGCCGTGTCGGCCCGCCTCACCTCTGTCACATGACCTGGTTTTGGAGTGGTTACGAGTTGATGTTCCCCCCTCACTGACGCTCTTCGTTCTGCGTGATGGCGAGGAGCTTAAGCAGGACAAAGATGATAGATACGTCGGGAGGACGGCCCTGACTGATGGTTATTCTTTGAGCCTGCTCGATGTCCAATCGCAGGACAACGGCACGTACAGGTACTCAGGCGCCATCTTCAGTGTGTCCACTTACAAGTTTGGTCAAGCAGCAACCTCCAGGGCGCAAGTGATGTAGAATTAGGGGGCGTGGCCTCTTTGAGTGACAGGTGGGAGCTTCTATCTGTATGCTAGGTGTCACCTCAGCTAATTCAGTCACTGACCTTTAACCCCTGTGCCGTGTTGTTGCTGCTGTGTGTCAGAAATGTATTGACTTCGTGATATCTTTTAACGTTAATGAAGAAGCGCGTTGTCTTCTCTCTTCTCGTTTGTGTTCCTGATTCAGTTGTGTCTTTTGGAGAGGAACACAACGTCAACACCAGGAGTCCGTCTCTCTCATTGTTGGTAAGATTAACGCTAACGTTAGCACGATAACATGCTTCTAAACTACAGTTCTAACATGCTAATATTTCATTATATTGTGTTGTTGATGAAAAAGTACAAAAGGACAATTGAAGGTTCAAACCAAACTTCCGTGAAGTAGACGATGATGGTTAACGTATGCAGTAAAGTAACGTAAACATGTTCTGGCGTGTTTTTCCTCAGCTCGGGTGTCTGAAGTGAACATCTCTACCTCGAAGATGCCGTCCAATGAGCTGCTTGTTGTCTGTGAGTCCTGTGACTGGTACCCGCCCCCGCAGGTGTTTCTGCTGGACTCCACCAGAAAGGACCTTCACGCCCTCACTAAGCGCTCAACCGGGCGAGACGGCTTGGTTTCCTTCAGCGCGACCCTTCACCTGAACAAAGGTACTGCAGCCAGGAGTGTGTGAGCATGAAGTGTAACACTGAATCGTTACACTCATTCTCAGGTACATGACGCCGTTGGGATGTTGGCGGAGGTTGAACTTCTAACCGACCTTTATTTGCCTGTTTTATTTTTTTAAATTTCAGAATCAAAGCTTTAGAAGCTCCTCTTAGCAACATAACAGAGGACGTACAGACGGCTGTCAGGGGGTTCTTGAAAACTGAAGAACACTTAAAAACATGATGACAGGTTCTGCAGGTTCGAGAGCGCTCTCTGAATTTGATTGGACTCTCCTTTTCCTCCGTCTTTAACAGCAACGCTAACAGGAAACAGGACCGTTATCTGCAGAGTGGAAATCCCAGAAATGAACCTGGTGAGGGAGAGTCAGATTGATGTCGGAGGTAAGATTCAAATGCACCTGTTGTAACGATATAGAGAGTACTTAGTGTAGTTTGAATAACAATTGAGTCATTTGTGGGAACACATTACGATGATAGCTGTCTCCTTTCTTTAAAGCAACAATCTGAAACTTTCCCTCCTTAAATAGTCGTTTCAAAGGTCGATTTAGTAGGTCAACAACTTTCAACAGGGGGAATGGCGTCTCTCTCATGGCGTCCACAGAGCACCCGCTCGCCTGTTTACTGCAGTATGTAACTGTGGCAGTGGGTCATCTGGTGAGTGCGTCTTTACAGAAACTCATTTCAGACGCTTCTATCTGCGATCGTATTCTTTGGGTCATGACCCTCAGGTGAGGGCGGGGATAACAATCGACAGGTAAATCTAAAGCTAATCTAAATTTCTTCCACACCTGGCGCCTTGCTACTAGCATATAAAAAATGACCCTCTCCGAACTAGCCATTTAGCCATAGCCTGTAGTCGTCATGGTAACAGTTGAATACACAGACACATACTTCACATGCTAACAGTTTGACAACAACAAGCTGCAGATGCTCGCAGACTTCTCCGCCTTCTGATAACAGACCTGTGTGTCATCACTCAGTGACCTCCAGTCGGTGCCAAAGTGCACCAAACCCAATTCCTACATATTGTTGCTTTAAAGGAGATCTATTATTCTCACTGTCACCATTAATGATGTCACTCTGGGACACCTGTAGCAGGGAACGATGTGCACCTCAAAAACCTCCTGATGTATCTGATAGCAGTAAAATCCCTCATGTCAGCCTCGGCCTGAAACGCTTCATTCCAGCTGCTGTCTCTTTAACCAAATGTTATTCAGGTAGTCATTTAAAAAATGAAGTGAGGAGAAATCCTCACAGATGAAGCCACTGCGTTGAGAACAAGTTCTCCTCTGACTGTTCTGTCTACAGAAGGCTTCAGTCCCCAGGAGGCAGGATCTCTACCCCTGGTCATAAGCGTCCTCTGTGTTTTGTTGCTGCTTTGTATCATCATCACCTGCGTTACTGTTTACTGTTGGAGGCGTTGTCAAGGTGAGTGTCTGCTGTGTTTTTCTATCAGCATGAAGACGTGATCCTGCACACACTCTGTGTTTCTTTTTGTTCCAGAGCACATCTTAAGAAAGACCAAGCCGAAGAAAGGTACAGGATGTTTTGAGTTCGACAGCCACCTTTCCTTTTTTTGCATATTTGCTGTTTCTGCAGACTCAACTTCTCTGTTATTCCTACATAGCCATGAAACTTCCAGCACAGAAAATGTGCGCCGCATTGTTTACAGTCCAGTCAGCAGCTTGAGAAATGATCCTGTGCTCAGATCAAAAAAACTGAAGGGAAATTCTCTCCTCCAGATGCTAATTAGACTCTTGTCGCATGATAACAAATACAGAAACCTTTCAGATAAGACACAGTGGGCGCTGCTGTAAAGCCCAATCAGTGTGTTGCTGCGCACAACAACATATCTGCGCCCCGCCGAGCTGAAGTAATACATTTTAACTTCGGTGCAACGTTCCCTGACGTAACTTCGGTGCGTCCAATAGGAGTGGAGATCAGATCACAACAAACGGTGCTCTGCTTTCCTGAGCTCTAGTTTACTGACCTGTCGGGACGTCCGAGTGAGAGCTCTAGTTTGTAAAGACATGTCGGACAAAACTAAAACTCTCCCACATCCTGTTGTGTCCAGAGTATTTCATGAAGTCACGCCCTCTTCTTCTCCGCTGCTCGTCTCCTCCTCCTCAGCAGGAGAAAGATCAGAGCGTTCTACTGAAGAGTGTGCACATTAAACATACTGTGCATCCAAACAGGAGAGATTTTTCTTACCTACATGCATAGTTGCTTTCTGCTCTGTGCCCTACTCCGCAGTGAGCGCAGTGCACACTGCGTCCTACCTGAAAGGCACAAAATAGATGCTTTTCTCCCATCTTCTGATATGAAGCTCTTAAAAAATCATCCCATGTGCCAACTGTATTTGGTAGAGACTGTTTTGTTGCCTCCTTATGAGGACAAAAGTAGGGCCCGACTGATATAGGATGTTGGGGGGATACTGATACATCGGCAGATATCTTTCTTAAATCCATGTTCGATCGGTAGAGGTAGATATAAATTACACATTAATTAAGTTGATCCCACAAATGCCGTTATCAAACACTTGTGGAAAAGATTTATGATGAAGACAAGATGGTCACTCTGCTGGAGAGTAACTGTTCGACAATCGGGAGAGTGGTGATGCTTGTTATAATCCATATAGCGCCCTCTACTGGTGAAAGAGAACTGTTAGTGTAATTAAAAGATACTCAAATGAAATGATATTTAGCCTTAAAAGCAATAACTTTCAATGCAGGCTCAGGAGCCAGCGAAGATTATTTACTAGAACTCTTTGGTTCCGTGGAGACAAGTGCTGGAGAGATGGAAGATAATAAAACATCAGAGGGGAAAGCTGAAGCAAGGGAAGGTAATGATTCTTTTCTTTTTTTTGTCATTTAATTCAAGTTGTAGACTTTGATATATTTAGTGTATTATCATAAGGATTTAAATGTGTAATGTTTTCAGTTTTTCCCTCAGATGAACCTCTTCCTCGAGGTAAGTCCAAAACCTGGAGACGGATTCAGAACATCTGCAGAGAATCATGTTTTTGTTTAGACATTGAAGGCAGGGTTCCATCAAAACCCTGCCCCTCCCCCTCTCCTCTTTGGCTCTTTCAAACGACACGCCCTTCGTACACATGTACAAGCTAGGCTGGACGCCAGTACCTAGCTTTCAACCATGTCACGTCATTGATATGGTTGAAAGAGTCGTGTCCCGTCATTTCTCATTCAGTAAACACCGAACATTAGCGTACTGAATGTAATAAAAAAAAGATGGCTAGAAATGAAAAAGGAGTTTGAGTGAAATGTAAAGACGTGTTCCTCGTTGTGTTTTAGTGCATGCAGACATCATGAATGTGGAAACGACGGGCACTATTCAGACGGTGAGGGTAAACAGGCTGAGTAAGACCGGTGAGTTCAGTAAGGATCCTTACAGGCGGGGAGGTAAACCCTAAAGCCCACATATAACCTGTCAGTGTCACTGTTTCAGGAGTTGAAGCTTCTGAAGAGTTGGCAGATAGAGACCTGACTGAGATGGAGAAGTACAAAGAGGACATCCTGTTCGTGGGAAAACAGTAAGAACTAGAGATTTCCTAACTCTGTGGACGATATCTCTTCCATATTGTCGTGAGTATCCTTCACAGGGATTCTCTCCTTATTGTCAGTCTGCATCACCTCACAGCCATTTAGTGTCATCTTTGCTTCTATGAATCAGTTACTCTGTGGTCGGTAGAGGCTCGAAGTCCTGCGTCTCTCTATTCCCAGCCTTAAAGTCTTTATATGTGATGTTTTGATCCAGCAGATGTCGCCCTTGAGCACCAGCATGAAACCAAAACAACTGGCGCTGCATTGTTGTGTTAGCATGCTAATGCTAGCGATCTTTATTATGCTGGTATCTTCACACTGCATGTAAATTTACCTGAAATGAGCGTGATCTAGAAACACAGTTAAGCAGTGAGTACAGTATGTTATTCTTCTTTTCTCTAGTCCCTCAATTAAACAACTTTTATACACGAGGGGAGGAGTCAGCCGGCCGTCCCGGCGATGTAAACAAAGTGAAGATAGGACTCTGAAAACTCTGAAAACATCACAGACAGTGGGACTCGGGTGTTACACCCATTGTAGACAGTCATGACTCACAGAGTTATTTTCAGAGGAGAGACTTGATTTCTACATTTAAGTGTGAAAAATCACATAAAGACTTTAAAGAGAACTCTAAGACTCTTCTGTTGTCTCCTGCAGACGTGGTGTCCATCCTGCCCTCATCGCCGCCATCATCTCCAGACAGTCTCAGGCTGGAACAAGCCTGAGTCAGACGGGTTATGGAACATTTGACCATGACTGCTTCGGCCTCATGCAGGTGTGTTAGTGTGTGTTTGGATGTGCAGCCATAATTTAAAGGGACAGTACTGATCACTGGATTAGTGAAATGTTGTTGCATTGGAATATGGTTAACTTTAAGGCAATGAGTCAGATATCTTCCGTTCTGGACTGAGGATTAGTCTCAAGTGGTTATTGTGTCCTGTTGTTGCAGATCAATAAGCTTTACCACAAGCTGGATGAACGTACAGGACCGTTCAGCAGGGAGCACCTGGACCAGGGAGCCGCCTACCTCCGCTTGCTCATCGACACCATGAGGAAGAACACGGGCTGGACCGCAGAGCAGAACTTGAAAGGTAAAGTCATGGGTAATTGAATCCAGTCAGCCAGATAAACCTGGCTAAACAAAAGGTTGAATTAAATAAATATGAATCATATAATATGAATATGTTAAGGACTCTATCTGTTGAAGCGGACGCGAGGAGCTCTGCGAGGTAAATCATTATTAACTGTGAGTGTCATCTTCATGCTGTGTTTCAGGTGCTGTGGCTTGCTACATTGCAGGTCCGGAAAAAGTCATTGGTTTGAAGTACGATGAAGTGGACAGCGTCACGCCGAACAACGACTTTGCAAACGACGTGATCGCCAGAGCGCAGTGGTACGCTAAGAACCACTTTAAAATGTCGTAGCCTCCCAATCTCAATTTTCTCTTTTTCTGCATCGCACAGTCAAACTGTGGTCACCTTAAAGGGCGGCTAAATATAAGAGTAAATATTTTTACTGGAAGGATTAAAAAAAAACATGTTTATATCCATGTTTGTGAAGTTTTACTGGAGAAGTGTTAAATCTCAAACAGCCTAGGGGGCGCTGGTGGTGCAGTGGTTAGTGTGCACCCCATGTATGGAGGCTGTAGTCCTCAAAGTGGGTCAACTAGTGAGTTAAGTTTGAAGTCATTCTTTCTGCCTGAAACCAAAGGGAAGTCAGAAGTGATAGCGCAACACTGCTGTGTTAAATAATGAACTTACAAAATTATCGTTTTCGTTGTACAATATCACAAAATAATGCAAAATGCAACACAGGAAACAGGAGAAGTTTGAACAATTTTGCCCAACAAATAATCTGAAAACTAAACTCTCAAATACTTTCTTTTGAAGAAAGCGTACGCATAGACACCTGGCTGAAGGCGTGTTACTGGAGGATTCCTCTAGAGGGAGCCCCACATAAATCAGACCAGGGGTGGAGCAGCCATTTTAAAAGTGCGGGTGTTGTAATGTTAGTATATTAGCACCCTCTAGCAAATCAACACATTCTGTTTAATGTCCAATAACTGATGTTAGCTGACACATCAACAAGACAAAGTTACCAAAGATAATCAGACTCTAACTTTATGAACATCCATTGTGAAATAACCCAGTTAGCTCTAAAAAACAGATTCAAAACTGATCTTTGTGATGCTTTTATTTTGATTTTCTTATTGCCTTACGCCTCAGTCTCTTATAAATGCATATAAAATGTGCTTTTATTTTGAAAAACTGCAAAGGGGACTTCTGCTACATCGTAAAGTTACTGGAGTAAATACATACAGCCAAAATATAAAAACAGGAGGAGAAAATGTTCCACTAACGTTGTTTTGTGAGGTGGATTTATCTTGAAAACATCTTTCTGAAGGATGCTACATGTAGCATGTATCCATGTGTTAGCTCTGAGCTCTGACTCAGTGATGAGTGACAGGAGGATTAAACGTAACTTTACCGTGCTTCATCTGTAACCAAACAGCTATGATTGGCTTAACTGTCACTTAATACATTTTAATTGACCAATAGGTTTACATCAATGACTCCACTGGTAAAAAGTGTGGGGGATGAAAATACGTTTCAGTGAAAGTGACAACACCCACAACACCCACAACACCCACAACACCCACAACACCACAGCACCCACAACACCCACAACACCCACAGCACCCACAACACCCACAGCACCCACAACACCCAACACCCCAACACCCCAACACCCACAACACCCACAACACCCCCACACCCAACAAACACCCACAACACCCCAACACCCACACCCACAACACCCACAACACCCACACACCCAACACCCACACACCCACAACACCCACCACCCACAGCAACCACACACCCACAGCACCCACAACACCCACAACACCCACAACACCCACAGCACCCACAACACCCACAACACCCACAACACCCACAACACCCCCAACACCCACAACACCCACAACACCCACAACACCCCCAACACCCACAACACCCACAACACCCACAACACCCACAACACCCACAG